TTTGGACTGCAAGCGACGTGAAATTCCTATTTTATGTGACAAGAAAATGTGTATCCTGTTTTCTTGAGTGAACCCAGGGGCTTGTTATTGAACGTCATATTTTGTCATTTTAAATTTTTGGTGCTCTAGGGTTCATTTCGGCGAATTAATTTTAAAATTTCGGCATTTTGATTTTTAGCGTTTTAATTTTTTGGTGTTGCGGTTTTCGGCATTTCAATAATTCGGAATTGTGAATGCCTCTTGCGTCATAACACCCTCCCTTCCCACCTGCTTGGAGGTACTTCCAGTTGTAACATACATCCGAGCCCAAACGTCACGACAAAACGTAATCAAGCATTGCTCCAACCCTGCATGCACCAAATAGAATCGATGGGTAGCCCATCTCTTGGAAACCAACCACTAGTGTTTTCTTCTTTGCTTGTAAAACTCTCAGGCATATAGGAGTCAGCCCCATAGTGGCAATGAGACCACAAAACATGTGTTTGTACCATAATTTACAGGACATATTAGCCTCCAATGACCAGCTGCCAAAGGACTTCACAATCACTAAACCTGCAATGAACATGCAGCTGTTTGAAAGGTCAGTGTCTCAGCACCCTAGTGAAATCTAGTCTGTCTAACGCATTTATCATTTATCTAAACTTGCTTTATTCCTCATAATTAAAAAAAAAAGAATAAACTATTACGGCCCTGAAAGATGCAAACATATTGTGCAGAAACCTCAAAACTGATGGTAGTATCACTGATCATTAATTTTGTTATTGGCGACGAGATATTTTGGTGGCGCAAACTCGCGGACGCCCTCCTGTGCTTGTAGGATGCGAGCAGACGACGCGCAATGTCGAAGCACTAAGTGGCTCTGTTAGTTGGCATCTATGGCGATGAAAAGCGGTTTATTTATTCAGGAAACATGTTTGCCGTTTTTGTGAGTGATCTTTCTAGTGAATAACAGTGCCCCGAAGTTGCATTTTACATTTAAAAACTTTAAAATGTTCAGAAACAATTGCCTTACATTACAGCTTGCTCGGTGTGCGTCAGAGCTATCCACAGCGTCTTTGATTTTTTTTTTCTTTCATCTGTAGAGGTTGATGTAGAAAAAGGTTCTGCATTCACCAGGATAAATGACCAGCTAATTTCTTAGCTGTGCACGCGCGCACAGTTGTGTTGCAAAGCGCCGCACACTTGTTTTAGCTATATTGAGCTTGCCGATACCGACGCTTCTATCCAAGTTCACTTCGACAGTTGCTTGTCAGCAACTGACGCTTAGCTCCTCTCGCATCGAATACGTGGCAAAAAAGTTTGTCACATCGAGACTTCTGCTTGAAAGCTGTTTCATACATTCTTAAAGGGGTCATGAAACGCTTTTCCAACTTTTTTCTGTTTCGCTTTCCTCCTCAACTCATAAATCGCGCATTCCACCAAACAGTTAAAGAACACGAAAAGGGGGAGTCCCCTCTTGCTCGCACTCTCGTTTGTGTAATCCCGGAAACATCCATTCTCCCCCTAGAAGATTAGCCCGTCGCTCAAAATTCAGACAAAAGTTGCTTTCCCCACCCCGTTCATTCCGAAGCTGACAGTGCTGTTGAAGCTACGTGCTCGTTGGGCCAGCCACACTTGCCACGTGAGCGTGGCAAATGTGGCTGCAGAGAATGAAGTCAGGTGATGAAAGGGAGGCGGTTGATTGGTCCGGCAAGCGCGTAGCTTCCACCACAATGTCAGCTTAAAGGTGAAGGGAATAAGTGAGGTCCGGTTGCGTGTGACGTCAGTTTGGACCCGATAACGCGCTTTTGGGACCGCGGATGTATCTCAGTGAAAAGGCAGAGAGGTTGCGAAGGGGAGGAGGTACGAAATAGTCCGCTCTGTTTTCAAATTTTCGCACTGAAAGTCAGGCTTTTGACTTTCTACCTTTTTTCTTTTGGTCCACTGAACGATGTGCTATTAGTAAAATCCCAATCTAAAATGATTTATCCCAACCCAAAAATCGTTTCATGGGCCCTTTAAAGGAGCTGTGCAACAATTTCCTGGCTTTGCTTAAATTATTCTGGAAGTTGATGCCTGACACTTCTGAAGTGAACTACAGAAAACAGATTTCGCCTGGATACCCTAGTTTTTATCTAAAAAAAATGAAAGAGATGCAGGTTTTTGCCACGTCTCAACTCGTTCGTCGTCTTCCGGGTCACGTGCGCAGTGACGTTGATGAGGTAGGCGCGGGGTTCTGGAAAAGTTCTCTCTTAGAGCCATCAGTGAGCACCGAGAACTTATCCGCTCGCGACCGCGTGACCACGTGCTTGCGGGCGCCGCGCGAACAATATGGTGAAAAGACGAAAGTCTCATCCGGGTCCGGCCATACCCGTCCGGCCCTGTCCCCCTCCCCCTTTGGCTTCTGTTCGCGGTAGCAGAGAGAGCTGACGGTTTTGTGGACCTAGGATAGATGGCGCCACTCCGTATAATAAAAGTTTTGTCGATGATACCAGGTTTTTGACGCATTTATATTCATGTTGGAACGACAAGATTTATAGAAAAGTTACCTCTTATCGAGCCGGTATTCGCACAACTTGCTATCGCCGCGTGTTTCTCATGGCCGCCGCTTGTGGCTGCAGGACGGGGAATATTCTAAGTTTTGCCTCGCTATTACGTGGCGGAATCGCAACATTTCAATGAAAGGAGGTGTGTTTTCTGTCATTTGTGAGAAGGTGAACAATAACAAAAGCAGAAGATGCCAATTCTTTCAACGTTGAAATCGTTGCACAGTTCCTTTAAAGCACGGCAAATTCAGGCCATTGCATAATTTGTTCCATCCGATATTTACAAAAAAATGTTTACGAATTAAAAATTGCTCGCTGAGAAGCGCGTCACGCATTACTAGGGTGACCATATTCCTCAAGGTAGAAAACGGGACATTTCAGCGAAAGGGGGATGGGGGGAGAATACACGTGCGTTTCTTCGCAATTTTCAAAAAATAGTGTAGTGTTGCCAACTGAGATTCTACATGCGTGCTGTATCCAGTAACTCAAGAATATATTTCTACACACGCGTCTTCGAAGAGAAAAAGGGCTTGTGGGGAAGAACAGTTCTAAATTTTACCCTCTGGGTAAATATGTTTAAGTACCTACGGTTATTTTTGTAAAATATACTTGTAACGAGTAGGCATATTTTCGGTTTGCTTCAATTCGCTTGGTGCCGATTTCGAAACTATGCAGTCCTGCGAAAACGGGACATAGTTCTTTATTGGGACAAAAAGACGGGACGGCAGAAGCGGACCTCAAAAACGGGACTGTCCCGGCCAAAACGGGACGTCTGGGCGGCATTAAAGCGGTACGGAAACAGAAATTGAAATATTCAAATTTCGTTCGGAAATGAGTCAAGCATGACGGATAATAACCGTAAATGATAATCGCACGTTTGTATTTTGAACGACTTGATATATTTTTCGTTCCAAACGGTGCACTCGAGCAAGCACTCGAAGAGAAGCGAACGGAGAGCGCGATGCGTCATGGGATATCCGGCGCAAAGAAAAACAGAAAGAAAAGATTTCCCGCGTTCGTGGAGTAGCAAGGCAGGCGTGGTTACGAGCTTTGCCCTTGGCGGCGTTGTCAGCGTTGTGGTGGTGTCAATAGCGTCAGCACGTTACAACTGAGCCGTTCGAAGTACCCGTGGGGTTACGAGCGTGTGGCTCGCCCAAGGAGCACGTAGCTTCCACAACACTGTCAGCTTAGGGCTAAACGGGGTGGGGAAGCAACTTTTGTTCGAGATTTGAGCGACGGGCTAATCTTCTATGGGGAGAATGGCTGTGTCCGGGTACAGAAACGAGGGTCCGAGAAAGAGGGGAGTCCTTCCTTTCTGTCTTCTTGGACCGTTTGGTACAATGCGCGACTTGTGAGTTGAGGAGGAAATCTAAGAGGGAAAATGTTGAAATGCCAAAGAGCGGCGCTGCTCCCAAGGAATCTGCTACGTCACGACTACGTAGCAGATTCCAGAACGTTGCTTGACTACCTCCCAGATAGGCTCCGCATGCATCCACCAGGTGCACATTGAAAGATTGTTTATTTAGCTTTAAAATTAGTTTTCTTGTGCCTTTCAACGGAAGACTGGTGTTTTTGAGGTTAGGGTGCAACATGCAACACATTCCAACAAGAAAATGAGCGCTGGAATCTCGTTTCCCTACCCCTTTAAGGTTCATTTCAAGATCAGGACTTCGATCCCAAGGTGCTCTCGCACGTTTCGCGTCGACCGGGTGAATAAGCAGGGATTTAATTGAAACGACTCCGGAAGCCAGCCACCACTTCTTCCTGCCAGTTATTTCGAGAAAATGTTTGTTTACTTGTTTACAATATTAAAAGGGATCAACTTGTAACTAGTAAGAGACCAGCCCTCACAAAACACATTGGAACCAACAGGATACACGGAGTCGCTTTCACTAAAGTTGACTACAGACGAAGGAGGTTTTCGAATTTCGCTTTCGTGTCTTTAAGTTGATAAAACATTCCTTTCTCGTTTTCCTTTTTTTTTTTTCGAATTATAATAAAAATATACACCCTATTAACAGCGCTGGATATTCTATTTTCATCATCCAGCTTTTTGTATTGGGGTACAGGAGAGCACATTACACCAGCGCTTCAACGCCTCGAAGCCAAGTGTTTGTTAGCACGACTATGCGTGTCATGTTTTAAAGCTTTGGTCAAATGTCCTACAACAAATATCACTTCACCAAATAAACACAACGCGTGAAACAGGCTTTCCCGCGCGTTACCCAAACAGTGCATGAAGCGAACCGACGAATCCAAGATCTGCGCGTTCCGTTTCCTACCCGTGACGTCGCAAACGATGATAGTGATAGCTAGAAAAGCGCTCGCTGTAGTTTGAGTACGAGTTCATAATCGAGGGCTAATATTTTTACCCAAAATCCACCCAGTCCGTTGATGCGGACCACTTGTCACTTACTTCCCAACAGAATCAATGATTTCTAGGAAACATGACAAAAGAACTTTTGGACAAACATCTGTGGAAAAACAAGCCCAATTTTTTCGTTTTATTAATCTGTCAACAGGCACAAAAACTGCTTGTCATCTTCACAGATCTTATAAACATCAGGAAAGTCTTAAAAAATGATACACAAGGAAATCAAATAAGAAGCAAAAAGTACCTTGAGATGTATTGAACTAGATACCGTTCTTTATCTTTGGTCAAGGAAAAGTGAGGAGAGAGAAGTTCAATCACCAAATGACTCACCAAAATGCATACAATGCATTGTGTTCATGATGCAGGCTCAACACCACACCAACAAATCCGAAGAAGTTTAGTGCCGCAAAGCAAACTACATCGGCACAATACAATTCAGAAGGATATACATGACACTTTACATAAACGGAGCATAACTTAACCTGCTCAAAATCTAAAAATGTGAAACTTGACACTGAGATTTCAACCACACTGAGAAACAATGTTATGAAGACTGATCCATCCAGTGAGGACTCAGGCTCTTAAGGCAGCAACCTTTTTAACCTTGTTAATGCCGCAATTGCTAAATTTTAAATAGCCTTTTCGATATATTCCCTAAGCAGGAACCAGCTAGCATTTCAAAGGTGCCTAAACTTCAATACCCTGCAGTATGTTCGGAAGCCCCCAAATAAAGGCTCCAAAGGCAATGTTCGTATACACTGTGGATCAAAATGTGGGGGAATCGTTTTTCGCACATAAATGATTCTGTAAACCACAATACAGACACTACATTTTTGGAGTTCCAGGGAAAAGAAGGCAACCTACAGCGACATGCTCAAAATTTTGTACGAGAGAGTTCACAAGCAGCTAAGCAGAGATTTTGAATTCCATCTTCCAGTCTGGTACGAAGCTAAAGGCACTCAACCACAGCTTTATTTTTTATCCTATAAGAAGCCGGCAACACCTGGAAATTACACTGATCAGAGAAAGAAAAATGACGCCAAGTTTTCACTACACTTCAATACCCCTAAACTGCTGATACTGCATTTCTGCAAGACTTTCTGAGGAATATGCACGAACAATAGAAAATATGCACTACATTTCTAAAAAAATTTAGACTGTTCTTAAGATAAAAAATAATTATTTTCAGCGTGCCTCATTTGAACTACCTATACTCACATTATCAATTTAAGGTTTATCCTAGATTCTTGATAAGGCAGTGGCTGACATGTCTTGCAGTTTGGTCCGATGGCAATCCAGTGACCATGTCAAGATCTTGAATGGCAGCAGATGTATATATAAATTACATCCGTAGACATCCTCATTCATGCAATCCATGTTCGCTTGATGGGAGCGATCGCACATGGGTTTCTTTCGGTTACCATTGAAATAATGCCCTACATTAAGCTCCTGATAATGCTGCCACGGAGGACCGTGCCGAGCTCTTGGACCAAGTAGTGAAACTACCTTGAAAATGCTGCCTAGAAAACTGGTTTGTGAAGCTCCCTAGATGTTGCACTGAAATCCCAAATGGAAGTAATGAGGCCCACAAGGACCAAGATTATATGTGCAATGCCTCATTTAAACAGTAAAGAAAAGCTGAGGAGAGAGAGAACTAAAACTCTTAAAAAAGGCAGAAACACAATTTTTAATTGGACACCAAGAATATAGACATATAGAACACAACAGCAAAGTTTTTTTGCTCCATTTTCAAGAAAATACATTGGTCTGCAAATGTTCTTGAAAAAACAGTCTGGGGCATACATGCACGCAAACATTCGGCCTGTAATTTGATCGGGGGAGGCCAGTTTTCTCAAACAGGCCTACTAAAAACGTGACAAGTTAAAGGGGGAAAAGATATGACTCGCTGATGTTCTTACAGACCCTCTTTCACAACATCGTCTCAAGCAAACCAAGAACACATGACATCCACAAAGGCTGCAGCTGGTCAGCAAAGAAAAGCTCAATGACACATTCAACACGTGCTTATGCATGTCGGTATTCAACCTTGCTGCAGGAATAATAGTGGCTAGGTTGAAAATCCTTGCAGTCAATGCACATACTGTCCCATTAAACATGAGAATAAACACATAGAAGACATAATTGTCTTCACAGTACCCCACTTCACACTCAAACAATGCACCAACCAGCTCCACCCACCTCAATTCGGCAGGTTTTAAAAACGCACAAAAAGAAGAGTAGTAAAGGGGAGAGAAATTGCCAAAACACTCCACTGAACTGCGGGTGGCTTGCACCCATAAATGTTTTGTTCGTTACAGCTTGCAACGAGAATTTTAAAAGAAGGGGCAACTCCAAGCGAACGTCCAAGTTTATATTAACCGTGTTGCTTGTGCTGAAGTTTTCAATTTAGACTCGCAAATACTTTGGTCCTGATACACTTGGTTTAGGTAAAGTCCAGTGCTTACAGGAGCCTGCATTTCTTTCGCATTGAAAGGACCAAACAATTCTGGGCAGCCTCACGATGATGGCCCAACTTCTGTTAAGAGGTGTAGCTGAAACGTCAGCTGCCATTGTAGGGCACCACCAAAAGCTCCACTTCCAAATTCCCCCGGTCGGCCCCTGCTCCTCTGCTACTTTCATGGTTTGCTTGGACAGTTGGAATCAATGGTTTTGGGCTACTTCCGACATAGCTTAGTTCTGCAGAAAAGGTTAATTTGCCAAAAAGGGCCAATGTTCTGTGACCGAGACGCAAAATTGTAGTAAGGAACAAGAATTGTTACCAACATGTCTTTTTCAAGAGACATTAAGATTGTGAGTAAACAGAAATAATCTTTTTTTTTTTCTTCTGCCCAACGAAGAAGGGCCAGTAACTAAAATGCCAAAAAAAGATTTGGCTGTGGAGTGCACTACATCATAGGGCTGTGCTGATGGTGGGCACCAAAAAACTAAAACCAAAATTGAATGAATACAGGCATTTATCTTTTAAAAGTCAAAAGCTTTAGCTGCTGCGCATGGTGCCAAGCTCATCCTTCATCAAGACAAGCCAATTGGTGGCCAAAGGGAAAAAGTCAGCTGTGGCCATCACACTAAGCAACCGTTAGGAGTCGCCCCTCTTTTAATTCCCTCGTAAAAAACAAAGGTTGTAGAAAAAGCACTAGCAACTCCAACACACTTTTTGCCACACATGCGTCGAAGAATGATGTAGAGCAGAGAATCACATCGCACTTCGCAAATGGGAAGAGCCATGTCCCACCTCGCAAAGAAGAATGGCGCAAGCTCGCCAACGGTCACAGCACCGCCCGCACCCTGATCAATGATTGCCACATCGAAACGCAGTGTCACTGGTGCTCAGACCGAAAAAAAAGTCCCACATACTCTCGCAAAGATCTAAAAAAATGTCTCTCGGGTCATCGATCGCAGCACGGTACAAAACCGGGAGTAAGAGCACTGACCTCCCAGAACAATTGCAAAAGTCTTCTGCAGTCCCGCAGCCAAGGAGGAGAACACAAATCGCCCTCCGTAACTGGAAAGAATGCCATGGTCTTTAGAAAAGTGGGTCGAGCAAAAGGCTTCGGCAGCAGCGTGGCAGGCGAGGACCTAAACATACAAGATATATATATATATACTATATATATAAGGGGTGTCTGAAAGGACGGTCTACAACTCAAAGTCGACCGCCAAATTGAATGAGATGTGGCACGTAGAAGTTCCACCCTACTTTCAAGTCTCAAACTGGTGTGAGCCTCAACTGAAACAAAAAGATTCTCAGCTTTGCAAAAGCGAGAGACTGAGGAACGGACAAAAAGAAAACAGCCTTCCTCTTCTGAGCTCCGCCATCTAAAATTTTCACAATGTGGAAAGTTGACTGGCTAGCCTGTCTGTTCATTAACAGTCAGATGTTTTCAATAGTCTGACGGCGATGCAGTTTACGGGTTACACATTGACTGACGAGCGTCCTCTTCCAAAACAGCCCTCCCTTAGCGCGGCGGAGCTTCGTGAATCCAGATCGAGCACTTCGACGCTCGTCGTGAAAGATGACGCTTTTTTTTTTTTTTCTTTAGAGGCCCGAAAAACAATCCCTTGTAACCGGGCTTCGCCGTCCAGCCACTTCATTTTTACTTTCCCATTTTTCACGAGAGCAGACCAGGAGGCTTAAGTTTTTGCTCGATGCGATGATGAAAAGGTCAAGTAAAACATCCAGGAAGGGAGGAGGGGGGAAATCGTATTTTGACAAATTTCGCCACTCATTTTCCTTTTGGGGACGATCCTAAGCTGCAAACTTTCTTCACATACACACCCGTGTACAAAGAAGTTCCTTGGCGAAAGAAAAAAAACTGTCAAACCCTACGCGAACACCACCAGTAAAAACCGCGGATTACACGCACGTGTTGGCTTGCTGGAGCAGTGAGAAAGAAAGGAGAGAGGCGACTTTTAGAGACGCCAGAGCACAGGTGGTCCAAGACACTTAGGATTCGGCGGCTGTGCGGCGCTCCCGCACGGTCCCGGAGTCTCCGCGAGGTCCTGGCCACGACGTAGCCCCATTATGGCAGCCGTTGCCGTTCTCCAGCTTCTTCGTCGGACTGTGCAACAATGAAAGATTTCCGTCACCTACTCGCCACAAGAGCACACTGTTACGAACCATCTATGGTCAAATGAACCTACAAAAACAAAAAGGAGCAGTATCGTGGCAAAGGCAAGGGTAACACAGAATGTATTGTGTGCTCCTTATCAGTGATTTTGCACAAATGAACTTGTTACGCAGTTTCGTACCAAGAGCCTCTAAAAGAAAACTCTGCCGAAGATAGTACCCCGGCAAAGGTGGAACACAAAGTTTGCGTCTCCTGTGGTCCTACACCCCACCTGGTAATTTCCCATCCCCTATTTTCTCCAAAGCACATACTTGCTCTCCTCGCCATCTGCACACTCTCGCACAATATGTCCGAGCATGCCTGCTCAACACCTTGAAGCTAACGAGGTAGTACTGCTGAATTTGCTTTAGGTCACCTACCGGAGGTGAGCGCAGGGAACAGATTGACCACAAGTGCCACGTCAGTGTTCGGCTGGAACTCGAGTTCAATCAATAAGGACACAGGTTCCAGTTGAACGCTGACCCAGCACTCCTACGACATTCTTCTCTTGCACGAGCACATCATCTGCAAAGTACTAGGAGGAGGCCATAGAACACATTCTGTCTTGTAAAATATTCCCAACATCAGAGCTTTTAAAACCAAACCTACCCAAAAATGAGTTTCTTTTTTTTTTTTAGTACATGATTTAATTGAACATTACATTGAACATCACCGAAAGGGAGGCCCAGTGGCGAAGGCAGCATGCAAACATTTCAACCCTATATGTTACCCGAATTAAATGACAGAAGTGATATCTCGAGGACTGTGGGCAGATAGGAAACATGGAACTGCTGGTCAGGCACATCAACTGCCCTTGACTATCTCCCCTCTGAGGTGGCCAATGCAATCCAATATATCAGCGGTGCCTGGTAGCCTCCGATGCAGTCGATTAGGGTTAGTTTGAATGGAAAACAATCTATGTGACACCCTTTGTTTCACATTAAAATAGACCACCATGGCTTGCTCTTACACTCCTATGTGGCTGAAGGGCCCTAAAATACTCAGGATGTTTTGCTCGACCGTAGACCAGGGTGTCTAGCAAATTTTTATTTTGAAATTCTCAGACTTTTCCGGGTTTTCCCTGACAATTTCAGGCACAATTCTCTGACCACTGCAGAGGCAGTTAAATATATAAGACCATTACAACATAAAGCAGTGAGCATTGAGCACTGTGAGGATCATTTTGCACGGGCTTAATCCAACTTGCATATTCCAAATTATTTGGGTTCGTCCAGTCCAGATTAAGCGAGCACTTTCTTGCCACCGATATAGTCAGTGAAGAGGCCGCTTCCGGAAACGCAATGAAGACACGACGCTCAACTACAAACGTTCATAACCGAATGGCAGCGCGGCCCCCAGATGCACACTTTCGGATACTTTTGGCTTAAGGTTTGGATGGGATCGGGGTCTGGCGGCTTCCCTATTTGTTACTAAATCTAGTACTAGCGTCATGCCCTATCCAATCCAAGGTTTGGACTGGATTTTTCGGCTGTTTCCTTTGCATCGGGTAGTAAACTCTGCACAGGGTGAGCAGAGCCTGCGCTCCGCTCTAACCAAAATTAATTTTTCTGCCCTCAAATCCTCAAGCCTTTGCTCAGGGCACTCCATGGCATTTCCGGCTCATTTTCCCTGACTGGGCACGCTTTTTGACAATATCCCTGACAATTCCCACATTTTTCCCAGTAATTAAAATTTCCATGACAATTCCCGGTTTTTCCGGTCCCTGGACCCCCTGTAGACACTTGCATGAGATTGCTACAAGTGCTGTTCTGCGTACAAGCATGCCTCAGCCAACTACCGAGCAAAAGCACCATCCGTACTCCAACTTCTCAGACTGGAAATGAAGGTGGATCCTTGTCGGATAATTTGCGAGAACTTGTCGGATAATTTCCAAGAAACTCGGAAAAGCCTCAACGTCTCGACACTGCAACAGATCGACCAATACAACAGGTCGCGGAATATGCTACATGAGCTACGAGAACTGGTGCCGAGGTGAACTCATTCGTTGAGTGATGCAAATGGGCGGTTCACGGACCCTCTCGCAAATAGGTGGAAAGGTCCTTGCCGCATGACCAAAAAGCTATCAAACTTCTTTCGGAAGCTGGTGCATTTTGAATCCTGTGGAGTGCATTGATTGGAGATAACATTATGTTGCAGGTTCCAGAGGGCAATGGCCCCCGACTACCTTTCAGAGGCTACACCTTCTTTCTGCTTTTGGGGGAGGAGAGAAGGATTGTGCTCTCCCGTTTTGTAGATCCGCCCAAGGGGACCGCTTCCTGCATACCAGGGTGCCTTCACAGTCAAGTTCAAGCTCTCACTTTTTGCCTCCCTATGGCCCCATTTCTCTTTCAATTACTCAGTGTGTCACAGATCATCTAGAAAAGCAGCAACAGCAGTGCAGTCCCCATCCTAGGGATTACCGCTACCATGCCAGGCTCAACCAAGAATGCCACTGTCAGCCCAGAGAGCAAACGGAGGGACCCAGATGATTCTCTTTGATCCAGATCTGCTCATCTATGGCACCTCCTTTGCCTACTGGAACAGGACCAACCACTTGGCACTCAGAGACCCAAAGAAGAATGGCCACCGCAGAACGAAGACCCCAGGACGTGTGGGTTGGAAAGTGGCGAGGTCCCACACTGCTACCAACTTGAGAGAGGGACAAGTAGACTGCCTGAATGCGAGAGTCGTTCCAGGCAGAAGACGCAGTGAGCCAGTCCACCATCCATCTGCTTTCTCGAAGGGGGGAGGTGTGTAGCCACCGTGGAATAGCTGGGTCGGCAGAAAGTATCAAAAAAGAGTGCCCACTCGCAGTTTGAAACACAGGCTGATGACAATTAATAAATGACTGTCTGGTTGAATTGACACTCCACATCACCATCCAAGGGGGTAGCAGCAATGAAAGCTCAATGAGGCTTAGACGAAAGGCCCCCTCTGTTGGCAGCAGGCGTAAGCCGGCTACAGCCCGTTGTGACGTGCAGACTCCACTAACCGTTGTCTTCCGGCAACGGAGGTTTCGATGTCGAGACGCCATCGCATAGAACCAGAGGCCAGCACCGTCAATAAGCCACAATGTTTAAAGGGCAACTCCGGTCGAAAACTAAACCAAAATAAATGAATGGCACAGTTGAATCCCTCAATAACGAAATTTTCGTGGCAACAAAGAAATTTGGCGGCCCTGGCGAACGTCCATAGAGTCCAATGCATTTGCAACCTCTCAACAGCAAAGAAGTTGGCGATCTTTCACCCAAAGGTGAAAGATTGCTAACTGCTTTGCGCATATCCGATTTTCTCTCGCAAGCATGCTTGCCGAGCCGGCGCACGATTCCCAGAGCTGGAACAATCTCTACAGGAGTATGTGAAAACATGTTGGCCAAGCCACTGAGGATGACTTTGATTCATTCGCACTTGTTGATGCGGACCTTCCCATTGTTGCTCTTGCCAAGGATGCTGCGATCGACCTTACATGCGACCAGGGTAAACATAAAGCGATGTCGGAGAGGCACCTCGGGAAATGCCGACGACTGCGGAGACGCAGGACACCCCACAGTTGGTTCGAAACAAAGTGGAGTGCAGCGGCAGTGACAGTGCTCTTGCAATGCCTGCAGCAGTTTGAGGAGAACTGATGCCAGGATGAACTTATCGGCAAACTCCCCTTAATTATTTTTTTACTAGGTAAAACTGCAGCGAGATGTTCGTAACCAAGGTTTTTTTAAGTATAAGGTCAGAGTGTTCCGCAGTGTTCCCGTCCACCTTCAAGGCTCCTGGCACTTTTTTTTGGCTCTATCGCTCTTATCGAATTACCGCTTATATTGAATTTTTTTGCCGTCCCATTGACTTCATTATATCAAGAGGCAACTATACCAACTTTGTAGCGGAAACGGCTCAATACACAGAAGTGCGACTTATAGTCCAGAAAATATGATACACGTTAAGCACCCAAGATGACAGGACAAGCGCCCATGTATATGCACCGTGCGGGAACTATAGGGAGCGCTTTGAAAAACGCACATAGCGCCGCTAGCGGAGGAGCTGGCGTTCAACAGTGAGGCGCCTTTTTGCATTCCAAGCTATGGCGGCGGAAGCGCGCACAGACGGAACTTTTGCTTTTTGAGCCAATACGTTGAGGGTGACGTTGCACGAGTGCTGGGGCAGACCTAAGAAGGGCATCTAGCTGTTTTCTGCTTCTTATATATTGAGTTTGAGTCATTAATAGGGGTAATTTCTCCAGTTGCAGTCGAAAAAGGGGTGCGAGCAATTTTCGGAAAAGCAAGATGGCCGTTACCATAATTGCTCGCAGTGGGAAATTTGTTTCTCTCATCGCTGAAACGTAGGACTGCTGGGACGATAATATTTGGAGGCAAGTGAGATGTTCAGTAAGTTTGTGCACGAAGTGTGCCAAGTTTCATTAAAACAGCAGGTGCAAAAGTTATGTTTCGAACGAATAAAGGAATAAAGCTGTACGGGATATCCAATATTGGACCCAAAATGTTATGTTATAACCGGGCTGTTGAAAGTGCAGATTTGGACACACAGGTACTTGGACATGACTGTAACTTGACACAGCACTTATTATACCATAAAGAGGTGGCACAGCGAAACCAGGTGGAAATTTAGTTTGGGCGGCGTAACTGAATGAAAGCCGGTCTTAACTGTCAAAAGCTGTTAAGAGAATACCAGTAATCATGCGAGGTGCACAGTTTACAGGCAGGAAGGGACCAGTGGACGGTACTTTCAGTTCAAAGAACTTTGCAATACCGTATTTTCTCGCGTATTACCCACATCAAAACTTTAAAAAAATCCAGGGCAAAGTGGGAGTGCGAGTAATACGCGAATCTGGACGCCTGTGGCTTCATGGCAGTACGCGCCGAGCCACATGGTCGGTAGGGACGTAATTTCCCAGAATTCCTCTTAGCCGTTGCTTCCTAGGTACTTTCTCCCGTATCTCCTTGTTTATCTTCTTTTTAGGAATTGCCATTTTCGCATTGTCTGCACACCAAAACGCTGGACTGGCCACGCACCCACGAAGAGAGAATGAAGCAAGAAACGTCAATCTTGCCATCTTGGTCGTCCCGTTCCATTTGACATGAGCTGTGCTCGGCGGCAGTCCATTACGGCGGAGCAGAAACTCAAAATAAGCAGCGTTGCCAAAGAGATTGGGAACCGTGCGGCAGGCCGAAAGTATGATGTCGACGAATCCTGTATACGCTAGTGGAGAGCAAAGAAGCGGGACCTTCAAAGTGAAAGCCGTGACCGCAGGTCCTTCCACGATCCCAAGACTGGAGCGTACCCCCAGATCGAAGCCAAGCTGGCGGAGTTCATTGAGGAGAAGAGAGGCCGCGGCCATGCTGTATCAACAGAGATGGTCCAGGTCGAAGCTCTGAGGCTGGCAAGAGAAGACGGCATGCAGAGCGACCAGTTTCGTGCCAGCAGCGGGTGGTTTCACCGATTCATGAAAGGCCAAGGATTTTCCATTCGGAGGTGGACGACCTTATGCCAACGACTTCCTCACGCCTACGAGGGGAACTTAGTAAAATTCCAGCGCTATGTGATCGGGCTCCGAAAGCGACACGAGTACTTGTACTCGCAGATTGGTAACGCGGAAGAAACTCCCATGTACTTTGGATTGCCACTGGACACAACTCTTCGGAAAAAGAGCTCCAAGTCAGTGAGCCTTTTGACGGGCAGCAATTCGAAACTGCACTGCACAGTGATGTTGTGCACGTAAGCAGACGGCATGAAGCTACGGCCATACGTGATTTTTAAGCACAAAACGCTTCCCACCGATTTGCCCTCCGGGATAGTTGTGCGTGCGGAGGACAACTCCTGGATGAACGGTCATCTTGTCATCGACTGGTTGAAAACCGTGTGGGAGAACAGGTAGGGCGCAATGTTAGCACGGAGGTCTATGCTATGCTTGAGGCGTTCCGGGATTACAACACCGAGGAAGTGAAGACCCGTCCCGCGGATGACAAGACGGACCTAGTCATGATCACAGGCGGGATGACGTCCGTGCTTCAGCCGATGGATGTTTGCTCGAACAAGGCTTTTAAGGCGCACATGAAGCGTAAGTACACAGAGTAAATTGCCAAGGAGCAGTACAACCTCACGCCGACGGGCCGGATCCGCAAACCTGACATAGCAGTACTTTGCAAGTGGATTATCAACGTGTGGAAGAAGATTCCTGCAGAGATAATTCGCAAGAGTTTTAGGAAGTGCGGTACCAGCAGTCGCCTGGACGGCATGGATGATGACGCTCTCTGGGACAATGACGATTCTTCAGCTGATAGCTGCAGTGACTGCAGCGATGAGTAATGTTTCAATAAAGGTACTGCTTTTGGTGACTTTGACATTGCTTTTCGTGGGTAATTATGCGGGTAATACGCGAGGTCTTTTTTTTTTTTTTCTAACAGTCGTAAGTTGGGGGTGCGGGTTATATGCAGGGGCGGGTAATACGCGCGAAAATACAGTATGTGGCAACAAAACTGAGAATTAAAAGTTGTTGTCTACAGGACTTGGGATGTTGGCGTTTCCACATCCAAAAAGAGGCTGATCAAAAAAGGAAGCCACACCACATTAACTTCCATACTCAAACGTCAATCGTCCAGTGATTCCAAGTTTCACTGTAGTTTTCCTTAGATTCATATTTGTCACTTTTTGGACCCTCCAAATCTTTCTTCATGAAGTACAGACTGCGTGTCATACTGGTCCGGAAATATCATTGACACGTACGATGGGGATAAAACTTATTTGAAGGGGCATTCCTCCAACGAAATTTGCACTGCATACCCGTGAGTGTGAAATGGCATTTCAGTTCGTCCCATGGCGCTAACATATGCAGGCATTACTGGTACAGTACAGCCCGCTTATAACGAACGCCGTGGGAATCTAAAATCAGATCACTATATCCATTTTTCGATATATGTAGATTTCGAAAAAAAAGAGAGAAATCAGCTGCTTCAGCATGCGATTTTAATGCTTCCCAAAATGGCCGTTGATTCGCTACTGTACGTGCCACGTAAGGGACGTCCTCAGGATCGCCTGCTCGATTGCGTCTAAATGCGGGAAAAGGTTGCAAGCCGCGTAAGGGACGTTTTCACGATCACCCGCTCGGCACCAGCGAAGTAGTCTCAGAGGGTCTCCACCGCGGCGAAAGCTGTTCTGGCGAACACCGACTTCTTCGCAGAGTCGTCGTCGCTCTCATCACTTTCGCTACCAGCCTCCACATTGACGGGGTCAGAGTTCGCGAGGGCTTCATCAGAGGAGACACTCCACAACTCGGCGTTAAGCAGCGGATTGATGTGATGAGCACTACAGTTATAAAGCAGAAGCAGAACTTTCCGTCTCTTGCCCACCACGTTGTTGGCGAAGTCGGTCACGGCAGGCCACGGTAGGTTCAGTCAGGGAGGGTTTCGTGAAATCCGTGTACTTTCGCAACGAGGCGTTGACTTCCATGTAGGTCCGTAGCCAGATGTCAAAATGGAGCAGAAAAAACGCGGAGCGGACGGGAACAATTGAAAACCTGAAATTTCCCGCGCGACGTGCACGCTGGTGCACGCCACACAAACTGCGGAGAAGACAGCTTACGGAACAGCGCGAATTCTTCCCTCGCTCGGACGAAATGTGGCGGTCGCCTTAGTTGTGTTATGGGTACCCAGTTGTTTGTTCTTGCAGTTATTTTCTAAGAATATACTGTAAATAGCTTTTTTTGCACTTAATTTGAGTACGTTTTTGCAGCTTTTTTTCGCTGTGTCCGTGGCGGGCCTCCCATGGTTTTTCGTTAAAAGCGGGCTTGTATCTCATTGCAAGTATACAAACGGTAAGGGGAATTTGGGGTGGAACTCATGAAATGTACTTAGGAGCAGCTGAAACAGCTGTTTTGGAGCAGGTTGGGAGCAGCTAAAACTACATTCTGGAGCAGGATAGGAGCCGCTCAGATCAGTTTTCAATGCACTTCAGCTTATGTTTTGGACAAGCACGGAAGCAATTTCAATTGTGCTTAGCAGCACAGATGAACATGAGGGGTTAGGAACCTAGGTAGATGGGATAACAGCGTAACAGATGCAAAAACTTGAAACTTTGTGAACCTTATTGAGAACCAAAGAGCAAGTACCATATGTTTCTGAAGATAGAGTCCTTGATATTTTTTGAGTGGCTTTCAGCTGCTCAAAATGCAAATCAGCACTGGTTATTGCACAACCCACACGTGCTAGACATAGTAATTATATGTGCGAACCAATGTGCAACGGACGTGCAGTTGCACGGAGGAACAGGGCAACAAATTTCAAGTTTATCCTATTGTGCAACTCAATACCGAAGCAGCAGAATATGATTAACGCAGTTATTGTATTCAAAGCGATAAGCTGAAGCAAGGTACGCCAAGCGGATCTACCGCTCGCGTCAGAGCTCCTGGCCGGCTAGGTTTCAGATCGGACCGCGCTTCAGTTCTATCAAATCCCCTGCTGGTAAAAAAACAAAAGCAGAGTACAAAGCGGCAGTGTAGAATATGTCAGGCGTGCCGACACAGTGGCAGACGTGATCGCGAGACCAAATTTCTCGTGTCGTACGGCACAGGTCCATCGTTGTTGCAGTCTCACAAGACATCGGCTAGTTGAAAAACTGTAAAACTTTGTGTCCCCAAGAAACGACGAATAAATATTAAAGCACTTAACGATGCAGCAGTTAATGCTGTCAACCCAATGCAACTGCACTGCTCAGACTTCAATGCATACCAATGTATGCGGCATGGTTTCGTTGCACTGGGGTTCTCACTGCCTACCTTCGGTAACGGCCGCGGGGCGGTCGCGTTGCGCGGAGTGTATAGATTAACCCAGTTTTCAGTGAAAGTGGAATGGGCGCTCCCCTAGGTATTTACGATGCACACTTTTTGAGGCCTAGCCATACAGTGTGCCAGTTTGTCTGCTTGGATGGTCGTATGCATGCATCGGAACAACAGGAAGACAGGTACAGCTACAGCCAAAGTGAGAATGGCAGGGCATCCCTTTTGAATGCCTAGCCTCCGGCATGCACTTGTTGCTTTTTTTCAAACGCCTTTCACGAAGGACGACGATTCTCCAGGGAGGCAGACATCCGGTCTGCACAAAAGACCTCTCGTAAAATCAAAGCAATCTTAGTGGCATAGTGCCACGCAAAGCGTCTTGGGAACCCAATGGTCACTGTGTCGATTTCGATTACCTAGCCAACGTCGTTTTGCAGCATCCCGTCACAAACGAATACAGTGCATGCATTTTCGAATATGCAACTTTCCCAAAGTTAGTGATACTGTGAGATTACCTACCAATAGAAATAGAATTCTCGGACACATTTTTTGAGGGCCCCCAACTTACCGGAGTTTGTGTGCAGGTAAACAAAGGAAGAAGACAATGTGTACTGGGCCGATCTGCCTGTTCCATTGTCTCAATGTCCTTGCTTCTTAAATGATCCTTGTCATGGGAGGGGCGTGTTGCACTCTGGAGTTGTAGCCAGGCTGCCAAAAAGGTATGGCCAGCCATAGTCCTACTCCTCGCCAAGTCTAGGCTGGTCCTTACAACTGCTGGAGGTCCGTGTTTCAACGGGGGCTCTTACGAAGACGAATCGGTGCACACGCGAGTGCCAACTTATTTTTCACCCAGTAACAAGAAGCACTATCTCGTTAACTCGGCCCTCGAAATCGAAACCGTCCACTCCTCTCCAAGGTCAGATGCCCCATAATGCAATGCACGTAGTGTCGCATGCTGGGATTTTTGCTAGCAGTCTATTTTCTATTTCGGGGTTTCTCGGGCCCTCCGGAATCCCGGAGCAGTACAGTGACAGCATGACCCACCTGGGCGGGGGTGCCCCGTTGGCCAGGACACCCTTCTTGTCCAACTTCTGGGCCACGTCGTACTCCCTCGTGTCGTCCAGCTCCTTGATGTCCCCCGTCAGCACACGCACCGCAAACAGCACAATCAGCTGCACAGTTGCAGAGGAGGAGAAGGACACGTGAGCACACTCCGACCGGTCTTGGTTTGGCACCACACCGACGCCGCTACCCTAAAGGCCCCTTGCACGCTCACGTTTGCTTACGACAGACCTCTCACAACCTCTTACGCCAGCGGCATCTACGAGGCGGCCCCGAACTGCATTTTGCTAGTGGGAAGGTTCTGCAGTATCAGCAAAATCAAATGTATGTGCTAACTAAGAGGTCTAGTATAATACGGTGCCCAGCGGCGTCCCAGCAGCTCCGAGACATGCTTCGGGCACCGTAGCCCATAGCATTGTCAAAGTTTTTCGAACCACGAAAAAAAGAATGATGCACAACAAGAATAGAAAATGTACAGAAATGCCAAGTGTTCCATCCAATACACGGCACCAGTGTGTTCTCAAGTCGTAAAAGACCCCAATAGGTCCTAAGGCACTCGATCATAAGTGCTCGCGGGAGTGAACTAGCCGGTTCCCCACTTTCCGTTTCTTCACTCCCTTTCGCGCTCCCCACCTCTCCCTTACAAAAGCAGGTCTCCTAGCTACTCCCCGCAAAAAGAAGGAGGGTTTCCCTCTTTCTCGAATGGAAAGAAGGAGCCAGCAGAAATTCCTCTTTTCTGGTTGGTTGTCGGCCTTTAAGAAGGATTGCTAAAGTGGTTGTGTCATATAAGACACTAAATGGGAGATGACTATAGTATGTGCAGGTTAAGAAGGTAGGGTGAGGGAAAGGAAGGTGGGGGAGGAGGAAGCAGATGCAATGCTGGCGAGGGGGTTTCCTCCTCCCTGCCAGCATTGTGTTAATTTCCTCCTCTCCCACCTTCCTTTCTTTCGCCCTACCTTCTTGAGTTGGCACCGACTATAGACCATTCCATTTAGCGCTCTCTGGGCGGCACCATTTTGCTCAACAGCAGCGCCCTCTCCATACATCCGGGAAATTCAGCGGGTTCGGCAAGGTAAACCGAGAGAGAGGGCATGCGCCCGACTCTGCTAGCAGACGACAAATCGGGAGGTTGCCATTCTGTAGTGTGCCATCAACAAGCTAGATGGCGCAAGAAGTCATGGTTTGTGTCGTTACTACGAGATGGTGCACGCGCTTGACAGCGGCACGCGCTGTCTCGGGATCGATGTGTACATATTGAAAATAGAAGAGTCTTCACAAAAACTCCGAGCTGGTGTGACGTCTCTTCCTTTCGTCGGGGTTCCCGCCTTGGGCCCCGCACCTCGGCACCCCGCTGCCCACGCGCCGGCAATGTAAGCCTTTCCAGCATCTCTACAGGCCTTTCGGGGCGCTGTCTTTATCTGAGCTTTCCCTGTCTCTTTCCACCCATTCGTAATGGCCCCAAGCGACCACAACATCTTGGCGACGAGCTTTAACCACTACACATTCTCCATCTTTGGGCTGTAGCGGCGGGCTGTACGGAACATATAACTCTCGCTCGTGGCTGCCGTTGTGAAGTGGTTCGCGTTCTTAGAATAGTTGTGGCTACTCCAAAATCAGCCTATAGCTCTCTGTTGTTCTAGTTCGGTAAATGATCAACTAGCATATCTTTTTTCCGTTACTTAAATAGCAGTTGAGTCAGCCGGCAGTACTACCATCAACTACTGCGTATATTGTGGCTGGAGAGCACGTTTTTATTTACTATTTCAGACTTCCACTCATGGTCGCTAAAGGCCTACACCAGTACAAACTTTGTATAGTAAAAAAGGTGCAGCAACCAGATTTACTTTTCGCTGGAGAGACCAGCCAATCTGACACAGTTTTCCCCATTTCTTTTTTATTTGCACGCAGGTAACAGCGCAATTGAACCCTGTTAGTCTTGTTTTCTATAGCATAGTATTACACGATAACTGGCATACCAAAATATGCGCATTTGCGCTTGAAATTTCCAAAATGACGCGATTATTAAACAGAGTTTGCACGCCAGCCGGATGCCAGGTACTGCCCACTCGGGAGAGCAGACGACATGCGGGGTGAGAGGGAGAGGGCATTTTTCTCTCCATTACCCTCTCTGCTATGACCCTAATGGAACGGTCTATAGGCTGCAAGAATCTATTACGTGCGGCTACATATTTCCTAATTTTTCGCCTATTCGTCCTTTATCCCTAGGAATAACGCACATTTAAGTGTGTGGAGCATATAATTTAGTGGGTGGCGGTGCGATTCCTGCAGAGGGTTGTGGTCTTTCGTAAAGACAGCTGGCCGTGTTATTCTATTTCTGTTACATTTCACGACACTCTAAACTAAAACCGGACCACGAGTCTAAAAGCACGAGTTTATGCGACACAAATACTCCTCGATCGTGCTTTCCAAGACACAAATACGTCCTCGATCATGGTTTCCAAGTTCCGTCGCCAGTGGAGTCACTAAATGTGCTTCCGAGTCTTTATGAACGCCGAGCACAAAGCTAGAGTCACTCACATGTACACAAATAGGGGATGGGGAAGCATTCACCAGCATGGCCAGTGGCTGCTTGCCAGAGGTGAAAGGGCATTTTGCTGCACCACGCAATATCGGTGGCGCTTTTAACGTATTTCAGTCACTTCCGGTCTAGAACTGTATTTGGAACTAGGGCGCGGGACTCACGATCGGAACCTGTGCACAAGGTCGTTACCTTTCTCCCTTCTCCATTCTCGGTGTTGAGCTAGAGGCCCTGCCCAAGATACGCGGGATACCAGTGCGTGAATAGTTAACTTTAGAAGCACTAAATAATTTGCTCCTCAAAGTAACATTGCTTCAACCATGGCATAGGATTAGATTCTGAGGCATCCTTTTCCTATCGAGTAATCGCAAAAAATGGTATCGGGATCTAGCCAGCTGCCTAGCCAACAGCCTTTCATGTTACTGCAGTTTGAGCCTAAAGTTCTCTGTGCAGCATGCTCCGAGGGAAGGTGCAATTGCGTAGGAGCGGCGTCGCCGATTGCTGCCGACGTCCTTAAGAGAAAACGCAGGAAGCGCCTCCTGTAGCCCCGTTTGCCAGCACAGTTTGTGACGGAGCGCTCCGATATCGCTAATTAAAACAAAGAGAATGTCAATGATGCCTGTGTGGCTACGGGCAAAAGAATAACAGCACCCTTGAGGAGTCGGCAGCTTGCAGAGCTCACTCGTGCGAGTCACCGTAACGTCCAGACAATGTGTTGCCCTACGGCGAGCCTCGTCCGTTTAGCTAGCGCCGTGAAGGAAGGTTCTGCGGACAAAATATACGGCGAGTAAAGGAGTACATTGCTCCAAACCGACGAACTATGATGACGCGTTGTGCCACACCAACGCGCGAGATGGTGGGCACAATGCGGATCCTTCCTACACTTTACTGCACACGTGCCACACCAGTTTGCTCGAAAACACAAGTTTAACATGATTTTGAACACAAGTTAGAGCTTTCTCATTGAATGGACATATTCAGAGTCACAAAAAGGAACCATTACAAGTAAAGAGCTGCAAAACAAAGGGGCCATGGCACTTTTGAAGATTTTGTTTGTCTCAGTTGATGGTCACGGCAAATTCCACTAATAAAGCGGTTGCTCAGTGTGTTCTTTTACTGCGAGTCAAACAAGGACCTTCTTCGATGTGCATATGATGGCACAAAACTGACACAACGCAGGTTGCATTTTTTTTAAGATGTCATTCTTTTTTAATTTTGGGTGGAGGAGGCTGGTAGGTTTATTAGGGATGTGCCAGCCACACTTGGAACCCACCCCCCCCAAAAAAAGCTGCGGTTTGAACCCTGGTTTATATACTTTTGCCAAATACATAAGTGTGTGCTGCACAAAAATAAACTTGTGCCAAATTAAAAAATAAAAGAAAACACTAAAATATTGTTTCATTTTCACAGCCCAAGCCATATTGTTTTTTTGTACTAGTCCCAAATTAGACACAGTAAGGAATGTGTTTGACTGGCACACTTATAGTCCATTGTAACCAAGAGGGCAGGGCGCGGGTATTACGGGCCGGGGAGGAGGAAGCAGACGGAACGCTGGAGAAGAGAGGAAAAAATCTCCTTCTCTCTTCAGCATTCCGTCTGCTTCCTCTTCCCCGGCCCATCTTACCCTTGCCCTACCTTCTTGAGTTGCAACGGACTATAGTGTCCTACGTTGCCTGCACATTGGAGTGTCCACAGAGTGACAATAAGATGCGTCGCACGAGCCACCCTGGAACGCTACGGGTTGTTGTGATCCTGGAGGTCGATCGTAGGACCGCCAGCAGAGAAGACAAATGAAGGCCAGCATCACCATCGTCGCTATGTCCTGACCCACGACTGCCCAAGTTTCTGTGAACCGATAAGACTTCCTGCACCATCAGCAGCGCAGAAAGATATGCCGGAATGTCCAGGTACGGAACTGCTTGCAGTAGACAACCAAGTTAACAGAGAAATTGCGAGCGGTGGCATGCAAGCGTCTGCGCTGCCCTCTACCTCTCTTCAATGCCATGGGCGCGTAAATGTTCGCGACTTCTGAAAGAGGCCTAACAGCTGCCGAGCGAGCTACCGCAGCACAGGCATCGGCTGTTGTATCTGCCTCTGCCGCCGCACTACCGCCAGGATCACAGAAATCCGCAACAGAGTGCAGTTGTGATGTCACCATAGTGCAACTAGTGCCGAATATCATCACCCTACCACAAGGTGTGCGAGGACTCCCAAGAAAAGCTTGGAAGTCAAAGAGAGACCCCCAAATGGAGGCGGCTGAGGAGAGTGGCACTCACAATGAACCAGTAGAGGTTCATCAGAAGCAGGACAGTGAGCAGGCAGTCCAAGGCGAAGAAGTAGGAGGGGAACACCTGCTTCATGAAGAGGCCCGTGGTGGCCGCATACATCACCTTCCTCGGGTAGTAGTACAGCCGAGTGATGAACCTGCACAGGGGGCACACATCTATGTCGGGAGAAGCACCCAGACTACCCGCATGGACAGCAATCGGGACACTCGAGACCAAACTGCGTCAACAGCCTTCACAATATATTTTTTTTTTTTATGTACATTTTATATTCTTGAAAGAACCGTCAATATGCACCCGTGTAAAGTAGGCCTTCCCTTATTTCATGCACCTCGTGCTTACGTAGACCTTTCCCGAAAAACGTACGGAAACCTTAATGCTGAGCTTAGGGACAGGGCACGATATGGATCGAGCAAATGTCGGAGCAAATGCATTTGGCAAAGGCAAAGGGATATCGCCTCCAACAGCTAATCCAAAATGTGGAAGACCGCATTTTCTGACAAAAGCAGTTTTTACTTTATACTTCCACGTCAGGAAGGCACACGCAAGCACCTTCATTCTCAAGCCAGGAGCTAGGGAGTGCGATTCTCACACCACGGTCTACCGTCGCTGAAAGTTGCGAATGCCGAACCCACTGTATTTTCTCGTTCTTTCTGCCCCTCTGCCGTCGCACTCCGTCGTTCCTGAGAGTCTGTGTGCCCCGAGTGACTGCAGCCACGAAGCCCCACGCCAACTAGACGACCAGGCACTCCGGACCATCCTCGTCGCTCTCCCCCAGCACTTCTTTTACCTCGCATAGGCACTCAGGGCACGTGAGATCACCCGCCGTGGTTTTCTATAGGGGTAGAAGCTGAGAAAGAGGAGAGTTGAGTGCGTTGGGACGTTTGAGCATTAAACTCTAATTGGAATGATAAGTGGGTCGACACAAAGCTGGCTGTCTTTGCCTCTACTCCATGCTTAACACATTCGAACGCAGACGCCGGCACTTGACTCTGGAATGCATACAGACAGTGAAAAGAGACAAGCCTTGCATCTACCCCCTTATCATTCCAACCAGAGCTTAGTGCTCAAACGTCCCAACACACTCATCTCTCCTCTTTCTCAGTTTCTACCCATATATACACCAGCACGGAAGCTCTGACATCACGCAGCTGCAGTGGCACAGCCGTCGACGCGGCGCATCTGCAGACGTATGACTGGGCGCGAATCTGGTTCCTGCGCACGCACAGTGCCCGCACATGGTGTGGGCAAATGCGGACTTGTTTTTAAACGGCGTGCAGGTCTCGGCTTATCGTCGGCTACGAACGAGAGTTTCGACGGTGTGAGAGGAATCTGGTGATTGCTCGCTGTCAACACGCACCCGTAGAACATCGATCACCTGTGATCGATGGACATAGAGGCCCATTTCAAAACTTCCACTGAGCTCTCATGCTCACTGCACCATCTCAAAGGTAGTTTGAAGACCACACTTTTGGATTCTGAGTTTTCCTTCCTCTTTCCACGTGGCAGCTTTCAAGCCGAGCGTGAAGCCGACGGCTTGCCGCCGTTTATGACAGTCGTGGCCACTTCCACGGCTTCGGCATGCACTCGCAAGCGTAGCAAATCTCAGAAATCTTCCGTCAACTTTTCGGACTTAAAGAGTGGCAGTGGGTCTGATGATGAAGCCAGATAATGTAATCTGCGGCGATTCATTCCACGTGAACGCCGCAGAATGGACGCTAGGGCTCCATTCACATGACGAGATTCTGCTCACTATCTTCAGTCGCGACGTTGCTCTGGCTGCAAAAGCGTGGATGGCAGCTGCGATGCTCGACGTCGATCCCGAAAGTCGCAAGCAGATTCGGAGCAAGTGAATCGGGCATAACAAGTCAGTGATGGCCACTGGTAACAATGATCAACATCTCCATGTATCTGCTGTTTACACCAAACCGAGCCTAACTACCCGAAACAATCTTCAAACTTTTGAGGCCTGCACTTAGTTCTTATCCCAACGCTTGGTCTACGGCCGCTGTCGTTTGAACGAGCAGGCGACAGTTTGAACGAGTTTAAAAGGGCAGATGACAGTTTGAATGGTCAGACGGCCGTTTAAATGTGAAGACGCACTGCACATGGTCTGCGGGTGATCCGGACAAGTTTGACAGTTTTCCCAGCTTCACGTTGGAACAAAACAAATAAATCTGACGACCGTAACTATCCATGAATTCAGCCCAAAGTACTTCTTGTACAAGCAATTGTGGTCCGACGGCATCTAGTTTTCCCTTTTCATGGCACCTATCCCCGTTCTCAGAAGAACTAAGCAGGCAGAACACGCATGAAAACTGATCTTCAAACCTTTCCCGGCTTTTTTGGTACAGCCCCAGTTGCAGTGTTTTGACCAGAAGGCAGATTTTAGTCTGGTTTCCTCCGAAACGATGCAGGAATGCACGTCCCACATGGTGACTTCCGCCCACACTCCCAGACCGGAAGTGCACCCTAGGCGCCACCAATGCGGCGTGACATAACAGAGTTGACTTCGTGTACAGCAGGAGTCTCAAACATGCGTCCCGCAACGCTCTGGGATGTGGCCCGCAAGCATTCCGTGGTTCCAAGCCCTTGATCCCGTGTCTCAAGAGCCACATGCGCCACAAATAATACTTGTATATCGTTGATTTATTTCCGTACAAAAAGGAGCTCTGCTCATATACTAACATGTTCACAAATTTGGTACTATTTTGTTTTCTTTTGGATGAAACACTGCTTCATCAAAATATTTGCCTTTCAGCCCTAGAGCATGGGTCGTCCACAGCCAGTTGAGTTTGAAGCAATTTTCAGAGCAGAAAAAACTCTTGTTTTGGAACACCTCTGTATAGAAAGATTATAATTTTGGAGCAGCTTAGCAGCAGCACATGCGTGTGTTTGGAGCAATTCGGTTCCAATGCCTATTAGTGACGCTGGCATGCATTCATGTATTCAGTTCCTCGATGCTCATTAAAAGCCCCAAGTTTGCAGTTATTCTGGACTCGCCAAATTTCCCTTCGAGTGCTATGAGGCTGTGCCATTACCTAGGTCAAATTCATCTTTTGTTTCCATTAAAGGGAAGCTGAAGAGCTTTTCGAAAAAAAAATGAGTTAATGGTTGATTCTGACGTGTTTGTGCCTGCTGAGTCCAAATATCACAACCATTTGACCCAAAATAATCCTTAAACGCGAAAAAAAGCGAAGAAATCAGAAGCGATCGCCGCAGCGGCACGCCATTGGCTAGCCACGCGTGACGCGCCGCTACGTCATAAAAGGACCATCTCGATTCTCGCTTGCTCCGTCGCTTGCGGAAGTAGCCGGGCGCCGGGTCTTCTGCTCTCGTAAATCGGGTTCGGCTTCTGATTTTTCGAAATCTTTCGGTGAATCCGAAAGAGGAATGTGTCCACACGACCCTCGACGTGACAAAGTATGCGTTCCAGCCGTTGGCAAGGTAGGAAAATGACCCCCCGCAGTAATAAACACAGACGAAGAACCGCTTGCGCGGACGCGAGATGGCTGGCTTTGTACCTTCAAGAACGTACTTACTGCTATTTATTGTAACCTAAAATGTTGACAATAAACGGAGTGCTATTGACAGGACACCTCAAGCCGGATTAGCGTGACCCTCCCCAAAACGGTCGTCAGAGGACAAGAATTCTGCACATATCGGCCTTCGTGCTTGCCAGCTGCGGGACGCGTGAGCGTGCAGGCTGCATTGTTCATCAAAGCTGAGGTTGTTTGAAGGGATAGTATAATCGGCTTCGGGCGACGGGAGAGCTTCCCCTGAGATGAGACGGCTGGCTGATAAGACAGGGTCGCCGTTCTGCCACCGCCATGTCCTTGCGCACTATGCGAATATCTGCGCAAAAGGTCCATCCTTGTGATAGGGGTACCCTCTGCTGCGTTTAGTTTGTTTGCCACAAACTATGGCGCCATTATAGCTTTAGAAAAAGCGGAGATGTGTGCCCGGCACCCCTTAATTTGACGTCGAATTCGTGAAAGCTTCCTGGGTCTCTACATTCGCATACTTCTACCAAGCTTTGTTTACTGCATCACACCGCCACCAGGCATTATCATCGTCCGATCGCATTTCTACGGCCACCTGTAATGGAGAGGTCCCGAGTTTGATACCCGGACCAGGCGGATTTTTTCGGTCGCTCACCAGTCACCTAGCTGTTTGGAGATTTGTGTTTGTCCTTTGTCCCTCTTGTTCCCCTTCTCCAGGGATTATTTTCAACATTCTTGTCCAGCTCGCTTGCACCTTTGCATTTAATTGAATTCTAATAAAGAATTGTTGCATTACACAAACTTTATACGAAAAACACTGCGTAACTTGTAAAAAAAGAACTCAATCCAGAACAGAAGGTCACATGCGTTGTATTTCCACAAAGCTCTCCTGAAGAGAATATGAACTTTTGAAAGGAAAATTTAACCAAATTTATGTTTACGTTTAAAATATATGTGGCCTCAAATAATGTCAGCAACTGTAAAAAAAAGTTTATGTTAAAACAAGTTGCACTGTGAAAGTCGCATCATGAATTGCATGACTACTTATTAGAGCAAGCCCTCCTCTCCCAAGTGACTGGGTAGCCGAGTAGATTAAAATCAGAAGAAAATAATCTTGGGCTACTTAAGATTGTTTTCTTTTTTTCCCCAGACTTCCCGGGCCGGAGTCGGTCCGGAAAATATGGTCACTTCAACAATATAAGAAACTAACACTAACACACTAATAAGGCGGTTAACACAAGAGAGCCAGTAGAAACCCGCTGTTCGGCTAAATGATCGCGGCATTTCTAGCACACTGCACACTTCTAATAACGTAACAGCTTTTTTCTAGAGCAGTCGACCTACCATTCCTACCCAGTTACGTTTCCTCTTTGATTGTGACTTTTAATGCGCTGTATTGTCTTCTTACCTTCAAAGATGGTCGGCAGAGCGTCGGATTCAAGCGAGCCTTCTTCGGATCCATACCCATATGTACATACATAGTTTTCATATGCGCCGTCCGAAACCCGTTTCGAACAAAAAACGGTGTGCTTGCTCAAACCCACCTACCCCTTTAAAATCTCGGTGACGAAGTGGAAAAGACGGTAAGCGGGAAGAAACCCTACGACGAGCGCTGTTCATGAAAGCTGCAGCTACA